TCTAGGCCCGTGTGGAGTGTGTGTGGGGGGGGCAGGGCCCCTCAGCCCCAGCTGCGCGGCCCGTCTGCGTCCCAGGCCTGGGCCCCTTCTGTTCTCATGGGGGGCAGAAATAACAGCCCGCTCTTTCTGTTGGTGTGGTTACAGCCCTTTTGCTTTCCTCCCTTGTGTCCCCCCGGCTCTGCTGCAGCCCCTTCCCCTCCAGGCCTTCGGGCAGAAGTGTGTGTGGGGGGGGCAGGGCCCCTCAGCCCCAGCTGCGCGGCCCGTCTGCGTCCCAGGCCTGGGCCCCTTCTGTTCTCATGGGGGGCAGAAATAACAGCCCGCTCTTTCTGTTGGTGTGGTTACAGCCCTTTTGCTTTCCTCCCTTGTGTCCCCCCGGCTCTGCTGCAGCCCCTTCCCCTCCAGGCCTTCGGGCAGAAAGTGCCTTTCCCGCGATGGCAGCACCCTCCCTATACCCGTACGTGTAGCATAACGTATCCCAAGTGCATCATATCTGCCCCAGAATAGTTTTACTTCTGTTGCATAAACTTTGCTCCCCTGTGGCAATTGGGAATTCTTGTAGTGCCTTGTCCTCATCCTGTTCCCATACGCGTTACAGTGTTCTCCTATGTGTTTCATTCCCTGTAGCCATATGTGTGATAATCTCCAATGAATGCACCTTCCTCCATGTTTTTGCAGTGAACTCTGTTCTGCTGAGTCCTGGTTGTTAATTTTCTACTGCAGGATTAAATTGTTTTGTTTTTTTTTTTAAAAAAAAAATAAAAAATTGCTGAGCTTGCCAGCTTTTGGTGTTGTAATATAGTTGCTGTCTGTGGCATCTGAGACTTTTTCCACAGGCTTAAATGCATTTAAGTTATACGTATAGCAACATTCAGGCAGGTTCCCTTAAATATAAGTATCTGTCAGATCCGTGGGATCAGGATCTTGCTGATAAGTCTATAAGCATTCACTGTAGACTGTTAGTCATGTTTGATCCTGCAATAAATTAAGAAGTTAAAGTTTTTGGGTGGAGATCGTATGATCCAGGCCTATCAGAGACTAAATAGTGAGCTTACAGGCTGTTCCACAGGTGATAAACCTCTATTACATTCAAATTTTCTCATTTTCCGTTCATGTCAGATGCAATGTCAGACAAAGTGATACGTTTCATGGCATGTTATTGATGTTGTTACCGAGTTAATTTTAGATATAGACATATGTGTGTCTGTCTTGTGTATGTATCCATATATAAGTCCTTCGTATTTGAGAGGCCTTTAAATGTTATGGAAATAGTTTCTTAATAACACTCTGGCAAGTATATTTAGTAAAGAAAGATATTCCTTTACAGTGATGCAAAAAATAGTGAAATTTAAGAAGGTAATTGGAACATTGATATGTTTGTACGGATAGTTTTTAAGGTCAGCAGAGACAATAATTCCTTTGTGTTTGATTGTGTGATACTTAATGTTGAATTTCTTTGTGAACCTCAAAATACCAGTGTGGACTACACAGTAGTTACTACACAGGAACTTCTTCAAAGCCTGAAATGATTGGTATCTAATGCTGCAAACGTAATTTTAGGAAGTTTGCAACACCTGTTAACGTTTGAACAGTATTCATTGTCTTTCAAACAGTTACTTTTATACATCCTTACGGTAGTCGTGTGTCTGTTACTAGCCAAGAAAATGTTATTACTTTGAATTTTCTCTGCTTTGAAAAAAAGTTATACAAAAATGTGGTGTACAAACATATGCAAACTGATAGCAAATAAGACCTTGGATATAGATTTGTTATGTCATCTGGATTTTTTCTGTCGTCTTCTAGTTTTAAATTGAAGAGAAAATGTCACTTTACGATGACTTGGGAGTTGAGACCAGCGATTCTAAAACAGAAGGCTGGTCCAAAAATTTCAAACTACTACAGTCTCAATTGCAGGTGAAGAAAGCAGCTCTCACACAAGCAAAGGTATAGTCCCTTTGTATTTTTGCTTTCTATTTTTAAAACTTCTTCTGTGTTTGGAGCACTAAAGAAAGTTTGTGACTTTAAATACCGATTTTGGGTAATTTGGTTAGGATTTGTCTATGAGTTTGTAGCGAGGAGCCTAACAAAACATGGGGGGGGGGGGGGCAAGAAAAGGGAAAGTGCGACTACAGGGAAGAAAGGGGGAAGTGCGGACAGGACTTTGGGTGGGGGCAAGATGCTTGTTTCTCAAAGTCAGTTAGAGAATTGCAAAATTGAAATTGAACAAAGAACTGATATGTGTGCTGCAAACCTTAGATCCTTTAACTAGCAGAGCCAAAAGCTGATCTTCAAATCTAACTTTAAAGATAATGAGATTAAGCTTTTTTTTTTTTTAAGCAAGGGCCATACTGTGATTGATAGTTGGCAGTACTGGCTGTTGGTCATTCTTGGTGTTCTGCATCATTTTTATGCTTGCTATTTAAAGGGTTTCAGTGCTGAAGTGCAAATCATCGTGCATTTTTTGAGAAAATATTTCCAATGTACATGAAAGGGGGAAGGAGTACAAGCTAACTCCGTGAGTTTGAAGCTGTGACAGAGCCATTTCCTCTTTTTATTGCTACAGTAGTTCACCCTTTTTCTTTAAGCAGTGTTGATATTTTGGTTCAGGCAGGACATGTGTTTTTTGTGGTGTATAGGTTCTAGAGTGAGATTACTTAATTAAAAAAGAAGTAGTAGCATAGATACCAAATACTTAAGTAGACATGGCATTTTTTCACTGCTAAATGCTGCTAAAATTGAGGACAGGATTTAGCTGATAGTTGGAACAACCTGCATGAATAAAATCTAAATGGCTAATATATATAAATTAGATATTTCTTTGTCTGTGTAACTGATATGCTGTGTATGCATAGACTAAAAGAAGACTAGAATAAGATTAGAAAATTCAGAGTTCAGAATAGATTAATACATTTTATCAGATGATAAAATAGGAAGAACAGTACAACTTCGGAAGAAATCTGAGCCCCTTAAAAAACCCCACTGGGTCCAAACTCATCTGAGGAGATCATCTGAATTCTTAATGTGGTTTTGGTCCTAGTCTAAACCTAGCACCATTCACCTACCACTGTATGTTCTTGTGGATGCACAAGCAAGGTCTAATCTCACTTTCTTAAATAGAGGAAGGTATGCACTGGTTTCACTGGAGCATTCTTTGAAATATTGCATCAGATCTGTATTTCTGTAGCAGCTCCTTAATCATCGTTGGCAAGCATCTGTCTCAGTACTGAGCAGCCTTTGCCACCACTAAAATATGGCATAAACTAAGTTATCCCCATCAAGGTTCATGAGAAGCATTGAGAATTACTGTATGTTGATAAACTGAACACAAATAATATATTGAGCTTCGCACGGTGAAGAGTTTGAAAAAGTGCTTTTCATCCTTTTTTAAAAAAAATCAGAGATACCAGCTGCAAGTATCTAAAGAAAGCTACTTTTTAGAAAACTATTGTGTTATCAATTTTAGACAATTTGTGTTTTGGTGATTTTTCAGAGTCAGAGAACAAAACAAACAACAGTCCTTGCTCCAGTGATTGACCTGAAACGAGGTAGCTCTTCTGACGAGAGACAGATTGTGGACACACCACCTCATGTAGCAGCTGGGCTAAAGGTAAGACCAAGATAACTAAAAAGTCCATCTGTTAACAGATGTTCTATAATTGGAATTCTTTGACTCCAGTCTGTACTTCTATTTTTTCACCATCTTTCCTAGTGGTCAAAGAAGTGATAATTTTCTAAAATTTATTTCCTCTGCTCACAGGTTCTTTAATCAATGAACATTTTAACTTTATACAGACTTCCATGTGATACAACCTTGAATTACCCAGATTAATGTGCAGTTAAAAAAGAACAACATTCCTAGCACATTTCTCCTGGACACCTTTATAGTACTTTGCAAGGTGGCAATATGGTCAAGTAAATAATAAACATAATTGTAGTTGCACCAGTGTTGGAACTGGACCTGTATAACAATCAACTTAAAAATAAAAGAAAAGCCACTTAGCCTTTTAAAATGAACTTTTTTTATGGTTAGGAATCAAAAGAAACTTCCCTTGAAAGTTATTCAAAGGTGATGGTTCTGAAATAGTTCTTTCAGATGGGAGAAGAACAATATGTGCACCTCTGTCAGTATTATATTAATAGCAGATGATGAAAAAGACTGATGAGATTGTGTGGGAGGACCCCTTGCAGACGATTGCAACAGCAAGTTACCATAATAGTTCTAATAATGAATTAATGGGTTTTGAAAAATTCTTGTCCACGCTGATTTGCTGCTGCTTTGTATTTGCCAGGGAGAGTGGGTGGGGGTGATTCTATCTTCATGGAAAAAATTGAGATAGTGAGAGACAGGGTGAAATGTTAGTTTTTAAGTAAAGCAAAGATTTCTTTTAGTAGTGGTGGGATGGGGATATTACCTGCCATTATAGAAGTCAAGCATTGAGTTTTCTGTTGTTGGGAGTGAGAAGGAAGTGTTAAATTCTTGGTTTCCAACTGGATGTTTTTCTCAGATCTCAGCTGAAAAAATTCCTTTTTCTTTTTTAAGGATCCTGTACCTAGTGGTTTTTCTGCGGGAGATGTGTTGATTCCTTTGGCGGATGAGTATGATCCCATGTTCCCAAATGACTATGAAAAAGTGGTAAAACGTCAGAGAGAGGAACGGCAGAGGCAGCGTGAGCTGGAGAGGCAAAAGGAGATTGAAGAAAGAGAAAAGTAAGGCTTTTGTTTAAACTTATGACATATTGACAATTAGATAAAGAACAGAAATGTCAATTTATTTATTTTTATCCCTCTAAACAGTTTCAGGGAAATTCTCAAGGGTTTTGTGAAGACTGCTGTATGCTTGTAGAAACAAGTGCAGTATTTTAATGAATACATTTTAATTTTCTTGCTAAAATCATGTAACAGTGCAAAAATCATAAGACTTACTATGTTTACAGCCTCTTTGGCTTTGAATGGACAAGCTGAAAGATGTTTGTCATGTTTTTCCGCATTTACTTTATTTCAATAGTAGCAACAGTATTTGGGTATTTCATGCATCATTATCAGAACATTTGTTGTCAGTATAACATGACTACAGAAGTACCTTTCAGCACTTGATGATAAACTGTCCTTTCTGCTTTTAAATACTCCAAACTGATACATGAATGGATACAGTTTTAAAGATGTAGCTAGCACAGTCTTTAAGAGGCATAGTTGCATTTTCTTTTATAATATTCTGCATTCAGTTTAAGTAAGTTAATTGTGTATTTATTACTTCTTTGTTTCTGGAGAAAAGAAGATACTACTTATTTTTAATTACCTTAATGCCCTTTCCCTAGAATAAGAAATCTCTCTAATCACATTAAGGAGGTTGAATGCAGATTCCATGTACTATTGAAACAGGTAGTAAAACATCTGCTAGCCAGGCAGTAAGGTTATATTTGCTTATTTTAAGTGAAATTAATAGACTGGCTTCATCGTGGTATGAATCATCTAAAGCCTATGGAATTACAAAAGAGAGATTCTGTTGCTGTTTAGACTGTGGAAATTAGTTAATATTTCTAGTCATCTGGACTTCTCTGTCTTCATTGTTCTGGTGGAGGAGGAATGCCTGAGGCTCTGTCATACTTTAACTAGCATGGAAGATGTCAGATACCTGAGCTGTCATTTCCACAGCTTCGGCATTGATCACTATTTAGTTGTGCTTGTAACTTGTATGTGGGCCAAGAGTGTTGTCTTTATAGATAAAAGTAGAGGAAGTGAAAAATATATAATGTGTTCTGATTTAAAACTGGGGAAACAGTGTCGGCCAAACCTGCATCAGATGTATGCTTTGTGATAACCCGGGACTTTGAACAGAGTGTATGTTTGTTTTAAATCCATAGTGTAGAGATTCAGCAATTTTGTCTGGTTTTGTAGTGGTTCTATTTTTAGTATCTTGTAACACAGTTTTGATGGCTGTGCTGGGAATGAGTTCTGATTTATGCCCCAAGATGTGCTCTCAACTTTTTGGAAAAATACTTTTCCTTTTCCTAAAGTATTAAAATGAGTAATTTCATGATCACAATAAATAGCAGTTGAAATGCATATCAATTCTTGAAGCATTTCTCAGCTAAATGTTAAAAGTCTTAATATACTTGTCTGAGTCTTGTTTTAGTTGCCAAGCTAGCTTCTCAATAATCTGATTACTTAAGCACGATGATTTATTTTTTTTTAATTGGCTGAGTAAATGATACTACTCTATATAGCCTGTGATGGGGAATTTAAAAGGGATTCTGTTCAAAGCAGGGTGATTAACGTCTCTGTTACCTTCCTATCGATTCCATCCAACACCTCTTCCACTGTAGTCATTCAGTCACTAGTCAGTTTGGACTAGGTTTATTCAGATGCTTTCTCATTTCCATATGTTCTCCTTGGCTGACTTGCAAGTGGAAAATTATCTTCCTTTGGATCATCTTATATTTTACAAAAAATACTCCATGAAAATAACAGCAAAGAAACAGAGTAGAGGTGTTTGCTTACACCTTCATGGAAAACATTATAAAATGACAATTAAAATGTAGCAATGTAATTCACACTGCAAAAGTGATATAACAAATTAAAGCAAAGAGTTAACTTTGGTGGTTTCTTATCCTAACTTGCTGTGTCTCCTAGAAGACGTAAAGACAGACATGAAGCCAGTGGGTTTTCAAGAAGACCAGATCCAGATTCTGATGAAGATGAAGACTATGAAAGGGAGAGACGAAAAAGAAGTAAGGGAGCTGTTTGTGTTTTTGGGCAAAGAAGGGGAGTAAAAGATGAGGGGGGCAATTTAGAGTCATGTTTCATGGATTCAGTATTTCTCTGTTCTCAGACTATACTGTTATTTCTGAGCCTGTAGAACAAGCCTAGCATCTTATTATGCTGTAACTGTTGTAATGCAGAAAACTGTTCTTTCCGTGGAGGCAGATGGCAGCTAAATTATTTGTGGAAAGACCTCTTTTTACATAGTTTGTAGATACCTGTTTTAAGTTTCTGCATGGTGTAGATTCCAGGAAAAGGGTGAGACATGAGATAAAATCAGACTGTGAGAATCGCTGTTTTTGCTATTAAAGCCTATAATTCCTGCATTTGTTATTTGAATGCCCTTAGAACTAGTTAGAAGATGTGGTTCTGGGTGATGAGATGTCTTTGCATAAACAAAATTAAACTTTATTCCCTTTCAGCAACAAAGTTACAGTAAATAATTCAGGCGTATTATTTTAAAAAAGAAAATTTTTGACAGGGGACATTTAAAATACTTGCTCTGCCTTGGAAGTTTGGGACTATTAGAGTATTGCACATTAAAGTATGGAAGGGGCTTTGTACTTTACTGCTTTCAAAGTGTAGTTAATCTTGAACAGAGTATCTTTTTCATTTGGTTTGATTGAGCAGTTTTAGAACTGAAGGTTTTTTTTGACTGTGGTTTTTAATTTTTGGAATCCCGTGAAATACGTTTATGATAGACACAGTATGTATTATATCATTGCAGTTTGATGTTGTCTTCCTTGATGTGCTTTTCATTCATTTCTAGTTCATCACTGCTGAAACTTCTCAGACTGCTCTCTTGCTATTTTTCTGTTCATAGAGCTGTGTGTTAAGCATTGGCTGGTAAGGAGCCAGCAGCTGTATTAAGGTTCAGTGAAGCTATTCCGAGCAGCAGAACCTAATCATAAAAATGTGTTGTCTTCTATTTTGCTCGTAGGTATGGGAGGAGCTGCCATTGCACCACCCACTTCTCTTGTCGAGAAGGACAAGGAACGTAAGTACACCAAAATCCCGTTCTTTAAAACCTAGCAGTGGTGTTTATTTCTCACTCAACCACCTTCTCTTCAGTTAAGTCATCCCCTGCTATTCTTCCCATATGATTCTTTGTGGCAGAAGAACTTGCAGTAGCTCTTATGTTGAGGGAGGGAAGCCTGGGGGGAACCTGCAATACTATTGTGCTTTGCATCTCTGTTCTAAAGGATTCTGTATGGCTAGAGAAGTGGTTTGGCAAGATGGTCTGTTATAACCATATTCAGTTACTCATTTATGATGTGAGAGGAGAAATGTTGCAGGCAGGTTTCTCTGGGTAGACTAGAAACCTCCACAGCATGGAGAGGGAATTATTCCATTACCCTTTGCTATAGGAGGTACTTTATGAATATCTTTTCTGAAGGGGTTATGCACTACAGACAGAATTTTGGACATTTTTGAGGGATACAGTATCTGCTAAAAAGATGTTTCCCTCAGTGAAGATAGCTTGAAGATTGCAGTTGTCCACTAGATGGCATAATCTTGCTGTAAGAACAAAACCGTTGATTTGTTTGTGTGTGTGTCTATTTGTCTTACATTTTAAAATTAAAATAATGAACAACATGTTGTGTATGTTGTTAAAAAATAATAAGAAAAAAGAATCTTATGCACAGAAACTTTCCTTTGGGAGTCCTGATTTTATTTATGAGAAGATTCAAATGAAAAAAAAAAAAGCAGCTTGGCAGAGTAAGTGAATGATATAATAGTGAAAGCATTTGAAGTGTGTAAATACTAAAACCAGAAAGATTGTTTTGAGTAAATAATTAAGAGCAATTGAGTGGTGTCAAGGAAAAATAAATATAGGCTGGAAATGGTAGAAATATCCTGAGGGGGAGAGCTTTCAAAGTGTGACATGATCTCACAAGGAAACCTTTGTACGGCTGGTTACTTGATGCTCAAGGCTAGGCTGGAAAAAGCAGAGAAAATACTGCTGTAGCAGAAGTCCCATAGTCCGGTCCCTCTGCTGCTTAAATAGGGATTTTATTTTTTTCCTCATATGACATCCCCAAACTTCACGTCTGACATTTTATTTGGTAAGATACAAGTAGTAGTTTACAAGAAAATAATCTAAAATGAAGTCAGTCTAAAAGTCAATAAGTACACTCGAAAGTGTGTTCTGTATATTTTCTTGCGTGTTACATAGGCTTTTTTTTTTTACGTTTTGCTATTTGACTTGTCTGTGGAAGACAGTTTAATAATCTAATCAGTATGAGAGAGATATCCCTATGTAGATATAGAGATACATATCTCCATCCCCCAGGAAACGTTGCGGTTCAGAAATTGTCCGTGAGATCTCTTAAGATTATATAAATACTTTGCTTTGAGTTGCATTTTTAATACACTGATTTCTCCTTTGTGTAAACAGACGGTCTACTTTTCTTTACAGTTTTCAGGCCCCAACCTGTGTGCATTGATCCATTTCTGCCGTAATTCTGTTCCTGATGAATGGGGCTTTTAAGTTTGCTTGTTCTCTGTCTGGATAAACTGATTGTCGTGCAGGTGGCCTCTTAACGTTTCTTTTCTCCATTTCATAAGAGGTTAATAAATGCATTATAGACCTACAGATACAAACTCATTGTATGTCCTATGAGGAAAATCCAGAATAACTCCAATCTTGTTTCTGAGAGAGAGAGAGAGATGAGGGGATATTAAAGCAGCATGTGCAGAGGAAACAGTCTTCTGATTTGTATTTATGTGGAAGACTCTTTTTTTTTTTTTGTAGTTTGTTAGTATTAAAGCAGAAAAAAGCACAACTTACAGATGAAGACCTGTCTGTAAATGAGTTAGATTAAAGGCAGAGTACTGTAGTGGTCATAACAAGTAGGTAGTTCGTGCAAAATGTTTTATTGAAACGGCAAATGTCTCCATTTTCTTCAGCTGTAGCATCATTTCCATTTGAAGAGGAGTCAAGACCTCGGGCACCATCTTCCAAAGCAGCTATTCCTCCTCCAGTGTATGATGAGCCAGAAAGACCTCGTTCCCCAACGGGACCTAGCAACTCTTTCCTTGCTAACATGGGGTAAATGATTGACACATGCATATTTTCTGGAAAAAAAGCATTAGAAGGTGGTGGAAACCAAAAGTTAAAATAGTTTATCAGTAGAGAAGAACACAGCCCATTGCATGGGTGTAGTTAGCCTGAGTGCGTACAGTCCTAACTGGCTGGATACAGAAAAAGCAGTGGATTTACTTGATCAAGAGAAGTGCATTTGAGGTACTTGTATTCAAGGCAGTGCTTTTAAGAGAGTTCTAAAGCCACATTCCAGTATAAAGTGTTTATGGCTTGTACAAGCCAAGCTAATGTAGTATACAGGAAAACACAGGTGACGCGTTAGTTCCTCTAGGTTTCTTTTCCAGCTTTGTCTTAAATTTGCTACGTAGCAGTGGGTAAATCATTTGGGCTCTACTTTGTGTGTTTGTTCAAAAATTGAAAGCATATTTGCATGAATGTAGCAGCTGTGGCTGCAAATCTGCACATTTACTTTTCTGCCTTGGATTAGCATTGTGTGTAATGCTTGTCTCACTACTGTGGCCACAAAGTGAAGTTGAATTTATAGTTAAAAACAGCACCTCATTTGAAAGGTGTAGTGGTTAGCTATGGTCCTCTTTATCAATCACATCAGGTATTGTGGAAATGCAGCCTCAGCGTAATGAAAACTGTATCCAGGACAAACACAGACATGAAAGTGTAGTTTATTACATTATTACACTGCATTTCCATTTTGGAGACAATTTTTGATGCTTTTTCTAGTAGAAATATTTTTTGGTTTTTTTTAATACTGTCCAGAAAAAAAGATAGCCAAACTCAGTACTGTTGGACCAGTTTATGCGTTGTTACCACCTCTAGTTAGCAGTACCCTGGGGCCTTCACTTCATTGAAGGAAGTGCTAAAAATAGAACCTGACCTGCCTTACTTTGACCACACAATTAGCAATGTTTATTCTGTGACTTAGTGTTTTAAGCTTTCAGTATTACATAGCCAGACTTCTTGGCCTATTTTTCATGTGTCCTTGTATGTTTCCTATACTATGCTTAGAAAATAGTCATGTAGTCGCTGATCCTGCGTTTTCTGTGTAATCTTGTGTGCCTATTGACAAAATGGGGGTGACTGAGCATAGAGTATTTCCTGTGGTTTAAACTAGTATACTATGGCATGTTGTTTATGTTTTGACCTATCTAGTTATGGTCTCCAAAGAAATGTCAACATATGTAGGTATATTTTGATTCTAAATACTCATTTGGTGGTCATTTCAAAGCCTGTCAGTGGAGGTGCTTTTTGTAAGGTACTTATAAAAAAGGATACCTTATTTTATAGGTTGGGGACTTCATTGCCTCAAAACGTTCTTGAAAATTCAGAAAGATGACGTGTTTAAATTAATACTGAGGATATCCAGATTTGTTACAGGAAGGGCTAGCAAAGCCACGTACTCCAGAGCTGTGGGAAGTAAATTGTTCTACATATGCCTTTTCTGTCAAGCTTTTGATACCAGCCACTGACAAAGATGAGAAACTGGACTAAATAGACCTTCGTCTAATCTGATTTATGATTTATTATCAGCAGCCTGATCTAGTGAAAGATGTCCCTGCCCAGGGCAGAGGGGTTGGACTGGGTGATCCCTTCCAACCCAAACCATTCTATAAGAGTGTATGATGCTGACTTGCACTGCTAATGGAAGTTGGGTTGTATTTGGAAAAGTATGAACAATTTTATTTAGTCAACTTCTCCGACAGCTTTTCTGCCTGTAATTCAGGGGTAACACTTTTAATCTTCACAGGGTGCTGTGAAATTGCTAGGTTGTAAAGTCATGTAGAAGCTCTTCTGTTTTCTGTCTCTGTGTAGTGAGATTTTAGGAGGTAGAGTACTTGAGCACTCAGGAGAAATGCAATGTTAATGTTTTGTGTACGAAACCTTTACTAACTGATGCTTTTTGTCTTTGCAGAGGGACAGTAGCTCATAAAATCATGCAGAAGTATGGTTTCAGAGAGGGCCAGGGGCTGGGAAAGCATGAACAGGGGCTGAGCACAGCACTGTCGGTAGAGAAGACGAGCAAGAGGGGTGGCAAGATCATTGTTGGCGATTCTGCAGAGAAAGGTAATTTTGTCCTACGCCAATAAGTTTGTGAAAAATGGTCAGGGAAAAATAATAGTTCAGGCTCAGTGGAAGCTCCTGCATTTTTTGTTTACCATCTGTCCTTGCAGAAAATACTAGTTAGAGTTGGAAGAACGACTCACGTTTCTTCTTGTGGAAATTTATCTTTATGTCTTTTTTTAAATTGGTCCTGTATTAATTGTTTTAGCTTATCCTTCCCTTCCCCCATCACTTACCCTCCTTTTGTGTTTGGATGCCTTATCTCTTCAAAGGGTGATCCTGCTCTGCTCCTGCTGGCTTTCTCCCTATCATGTGCTTTTGATATTGCCCTCATTTCCCTGCTGTTGTCTGATCTAGAGATAACATCTGGGCTTACTAGAACTGCACCTCTGCCTGAGCGTGAGTGTTGGAAGTCAGGAGATACGATTTTTAGTTCTTAGGGGATCTGATACAATTCTGAACTTATGAATTATTTCCCTCAAAGAAATAGTATGTTGTCAACGTTCTAGCTGAATTCACATTCCGTAGAAGTGATTTTGCTGCTGATTGTCTTTCCAAGTAGCTACAAGTTCTGAATGACTATTCCTCACCAATATGAAGCTACATGTTGTGGCATTTATTCCATTGTTTGATAACAGTCTGATGAAAGCCCTTAAATAAGGTTTAAATTAGCTTTAATCTTAAATTATTCCATGATTCACTGTTCTATCTTCCTAGCAGAAACGGGCAAGAAAGCGGATTCTAACCCATTGACCGAGATACTGAAATGCCCAACTAAAGTGGTCTTACTAAGGGTAAGTTGAGAGTAAGGGAACATGTTTTGGTATTTGCAGCATGTGTGACTGGTTGAAATATTTAACACCTGTGTTCCTGTTACAAGGAGTCTGTACAGTTCGAGCAGTTCTGGCCTGCACCTACATGGTGCTTTGTGTTGTGGAGAAAATACGTGTCTTCCTGAGATGCACATTGTGACTGTAAATTAACACTGCTTTAAGATTATACGGTTACCTTGTCTTAGTACTGGAGAACTGTCTCCTCCTGTGGCTCTTGACTGGTAAACAGAAGCTTAAAGTATTCATGGTCACAGTTGCATGCATCTGTGATTTGCCTACGTAATCGTCTGTACAGGCTACATCCAGTAAGTTAGGTTTATTCTTTTAACTTTCAGAACATGGTAGGTGCTGGGGAGGTGGACGAAGATCTAGAAGTTGAAACTAAGGAGGAATGTGAGAAATACGGCAAAGTTGGGAAATGTGTCATCTTTGAGGTAAGAGACAATCTGTCTCTCTTTTTTGCTCTCTGAAAGCAAACTGGGCACTTGTCCCTCACAGTTGGCTTGTTACTGCCTGAGAGAAGGGGCATAGATCAGAAGATCTGGCAGGGTCCTTTGCTGTGTTGTGATTCTGGATTTTCCATATCTGTCAGATACAAACTTTAATGCCAGAAACCGGGCAAAAAATTTTGGGTATTGTGCTTCTTATTGTGTTCCCTTTGCTACTTTTGTGAAGAACAGCAATTTAAAATGATATTTTTGCTGCTGTTCTAATTACTTCTGCTTTGGGGGTGTTTGTTTGTTTTGTTTCAGATTCCTGGTGCCCCTGATGATGAAGCTGTCAGAATATTTTTAGAGTTTGAACGGGTTGAATCTGCCATCAAAGGTAGGATACTAAATTGTATCCTGTGAACCTCAGAGTTAACTTCTGTAGAGAGGTTAAACAATCTCACCAATAAGACTGTTTAGCTAAAGAAACATTTGTTTGGGTTTTTTTTTAATTGCTGCTTGCTGACCTGTTCTTGGTTTCCATTCCAGCTGTTGTGGATCTAAATGGAAGATACTTTGGAGGCCGAGTCGTGAAGGCTTGTTTCTACAACCTGGACAAGTTCAGAGTTCTGGATCTGGCAGAGCAAGTTTGATTTTAAAAATCTAGCTCGAGGTGTCACTGTTTTGGCAATCATGTTTTCAGCGGTAGGCTGGGAATAAAGAAGAGAAAAGTAGCTTTCCTAGCAAACTGGAAACAAGCCTCATTGAATGGATTTTTCGCATTCGTTGTGACTTACATTTTTTGTAATATAAAGCCCTTTGAAAGTAAGATTCACGTCTGTGTGTTTTTGAATTGCACAATTCTGCTTATTGCTCTGGGGATCCTGTTTTTTTGAGCTTTCAGATGACTTCGTTCTTTTGAAAACCCACTGCTGAGGAGATGCTTTGTCTGTATTCCTGCTTTCCTTGTTCTGGTGCTTCATCATGGAGTCCCTGGGCTGCATCCACAATAAGTGGGAAGCTTTGGAAAAGGACTATATGCTATCATGGTTCTCTTCCCTGGTGGTATCTCTCAGAGTTACAGCGTGCTCTCGTAAGTGCAGTTTTCGCACCAGAGTGATTTGGGGTCGTTGGACAATTGGCAGCTAGTTTTTTTCTCTTCTGACTCCAGGACAATACTTTTGATGATAGAATGAAGACTAAAGTAACAAGGAATGCGTCTGTCTTTCTTCCCAAATCCAAAGAAAATACACATTTAACCCAGGGAAATGGAAGGAGGAAGGAATTTAAAGTGCTTAGCCGTTTGTATAAGAACGAGTGGACTGTTAGCAGGAGCTCTGTGCTGTCAGGCAGTCTTTGCTTGAAATATCCAGGGTTAACTGATTACAGGTCGTTATTGAAATGCTATAGGTAGAACTGAGGGAAACTTTCTTCTATCTGGCTAGCTATCAGATTCTCACTTCCTCTAACGTCACTACATAAGTAACTAACTTTTTGTTTAATTGACTCAAACCTGGCATTTGCTCTCTCTATATATATTTTTATATTTGAGGTCAAATAACATCAGGGTTAGGCTTTTTTGGTTTTGAGAAGGAATGCCAGTGGAAGTTTTCAAAGTAGGAGGTGATGGAAGAAAATTCTTGTATGAAAATCTGAAGAGTTGAGAAACTAAACTACTAAACACTACAGCTTACAACTCTTTTTTTGGGTTTTTTTTTTTCTGATGTAAAATAATACATAGCACTCTGCTCCTGATTTTGTTTGCTTTTTGTTTGGGAACAGCATGTGACAAGGAGTTGGCAAGAGGTGGCTATGCAATGATGGCAGTTGTCTCTGTGTTCCATTGCACCTAGAATTGTACAGATAGTAAAATAGAAGTGAGTTCTGAGGACATTTTAGCTGTTTAAAAGCTGGTGGATGTCTTTTTCCTGTTATACACACGTATTGGGGGGAGGGGGTATAGACCTGTAGTTGATCAACGCTGTGAATATCTCCAATTATTGCCCTTTTATTAAGTTTTGGCTGCAGATCTATATGACAAACCCTTGGTCTTGTGTTTTTGTCTGCTTGTGTTCCACCAACCTCTGTACAAACATTTGCCTGTAAAACAGAAAACAGTTTTTAAAAAAACTTGTATTTTACCTACTGTGTGTTGGCTTCCTTACTATCCTCTTCTGTTGCACAAGGCCTTCCCACGGAGTCAGTCCCTTCTGTACCACGTGTGCTGCTGTTGGCAATAGTTGTAATCCACCATTAGAAAACCTCACTGCAGCAGAGATGAAGAACCGGCCTGACTAATACTAAAACCACAGAACTTGGGGCAATAACAGAATCTTATTGGCTTTGCTGTTAGTTTTCTGTTTGACCTTGAGCAACACTTTAAGGCCTTTGCTACTATATAGTAAAACAAAAAAATTACCCTAATATGAATTAACGTGGATTTCCTTATAAGAGCCAAATAATTTGAGTGGCGGGCTGTAAATAAGCGCTGATAACTGATTTAGTATGATCTGAACTTAGCTGGAAATATGATTTGGCTTTAAGCAACGTGATTTGTTTATGACTTACTTTGGCAAATACTGTTGTTGAGTGACTAGCTGTGAGCATTTCCTGAGCTATACAGACTGTTTTATGTGTTTTCAAACCAGCTGTTCTGCTGTTTTCTCTGTATACCAGCTTCTGAGCTTCCGGTTTCATAAGTTGGAGGTCTTCCTTTTGGTGAGAATTGCTTTACTGGCAAGTTTTGAACCATTTAATTCTAAAAATCCTTATTGTGGTCAAAGACTTACGAGTAAAGTTCACCCTTGGAGATGCAGGGGAGATGGCTTGTTCATTTAGTGTTTTGTGGGGGAGATTCATTCTATAAATAAAGTATTTTTCTGTACTGTGGGGTCACTAAGACAGCATAAGCATACTTCCTTCTAAAGTGTTAGCAGACCTACATTGCCTTAGTTTCATCTCGTTGTGAGTAGCGGCTTTGGTGGGCGCTGTACAAATACACGGCGTCGGAGCCTGGTTTGTAAGCAGTTGTCCTCTAGGTGCTGCCACAGTAAATCCAAACACATACAGGGGTGTGGAAACCTGAAAAGGATCAGACATACTGACTGAGGTCCTTAGTCAGACCTTACTTATCACAGGTAATGCGGTTTGCAGCAAGTATTTTTTTGCAGCTGCACATTTTTCCACTTAGCCCATGTTGATGTCTTGGCTCAGATTTTCTCAGGTATGTCTGTGTCTTGCATGCCTTTAAAAATTTGGTTCTGAATTTACTTCTCTACTTCATACCTCCTCTGGAAACTTGTTACTGCCCTTTTTCTATTTCTAGTACTTTCTCAAATTACTTTTTATTTAACACCTCCAGCTCTTCCTGCTTACGCATCCATTTTTTTTTCCTTCCGTGATTCATCAGCGCCCTCTCAAAAGGCTCAGCAGCACTTAATTTGGAGTTCTTCATTGCAGCTACAAAGTTTGACTTGTTTGTTTGTTTTTGCATACCTGAAATTGTACACCCACCTTTTTTTGTAAGGTGTGTGCTTGTAGCTGTGGTCTGAAGCAATATTTTTGTTTCTCTTTTTGTGTTGTGCCTTGAAATGTTATGCTTTTACAGAAAAAGAGGAGGATGGTGGCTTGTTAAGGTACATTTGCTTTATTGGCAGTACAGTATTGGTTCTACACCTTCAGATGAAGCGTTCGGTATTTTTCAGGCCTGGTTTCCTAAAGTTCAGCTTTAATTCAGTGTTTTAAGTACACATGTAAATACTCTGATTCCCTAATGTGCTGAATAACTGAATCTCCTCTCGGGCTAAGTATGAACTGTTCATTACTTCTGGGAATCTAGATTAGATGCCTGCTTAAAAGAGATTTGACAGTGTCCTGAAGCTAGCAGCAAGCTGAGAGGGACGTGTAGGACGTGTCAGCCCGGAGCTGAACGAGTTGTCCCTAGTGCATTATCAACACTGAAGTCTTAAGGATATGGATTTGCATAGTGGCATAACCATTTGCTGCCTTGTTCTCTTCCTAATTTGTAACAGCGGCTGCTATTTTAACAGCAGGGAAGTACTGACTTGATGCTTTCATAGTTGTTATAACCCCAAGGTTTCATTCCTGAGTGGTAACAGCTATTTCGGAGCCCATCGTTACGTACATAGGTTATGTGTGTATTTTCTTATGTGCACTGTTCTGCACTTAACCTGTGTTGAATTTCAGCTGTCAGTTTATCACTTGCCTACTTGGTGTCAGACTAAAGAAAACTGATGAGATGGAGCTCGCAGGGAACATTTTTAACATTGCTATTGTCAAAATCTGAACTTGCTTTGCCAATAGTATATGAAAGGTGAGAGTTGCCTCAAAGAACTTACTGTCTGAATAACCATACAAAGAGGGAGGGAGGCAGGTACGAAAAGTGCCTTGCCCAAGGTCATGTAGAAGGTTGGTTGGGGAGTTGGGATTACACCCTTTTGCCCTACACTTGCAACAATGCAACCAAAACCCACATTCCTTGTGGAGTTGCTTTTTCTTTTAACACCGGAAAATGGTAAGTGCTCTTAGCCTTGAACTTTGGACTCTGAAGTGAATTCAGTTGAGGAGAAGGAGGTGTAATTTGTGTGCTGCAGTCTGTGTAAGCGCTTGCCTTTCGAGGTGCTTATCTGAAATCATGCTCCTGTGGTGGGTTTTTTACCCTTCTGTGGAGGAGAAAATGGGCATAGTAACCCCACATAGTTTTCATAAAGATATAAGGAAAAATATGGAAGCCTTCAAAGAGGTTCTTAAACCTCTGAAATCTTTCTTACTCCACAAGCAAAAGTCTAATGAGGCAATAAGAGGACCCAAGCAAGACTCATTCATCCCATGTTAAATGAAATTAAATCCCATGTTTGTGCCTGGGGTTGTTCCTCCCCTGGTGCAGGACTTTGTGCTTCTCATTGAGCTTCATGATGTTTCTGCCAGCCCATTTCTCCAGCCTGTCGAGGTCCCTCTGGGTGGCAGCACGACCTTCTGGAGTCTCAGCCACTCTGCCCAAGTTGGTGTCATCTGCAGACTTCCTGAGGGTATACTGCCCCATCATCCAGGTCATGAAGGTTTTAAATGGGCCTGGATGCAGTATAGACCCCTGGAGTATACCATTAATTACTGGGCTCCAACTAGACTTTGTGCCACTGATCCACCGCCTTCTGGGACCGGCCATTAGGCCAGTTTTCAGTCTACCTCGGTGTCTGCTCATCCAGCCCATCCCTCAACAGCTTCTTTATGAGGAGGAGCTTATGAGAAGCAATGTTTGAAAGCCTTAGGGAAGTCGAAGTAGACAATACCGCTTCTCTCCCGTTGTCTACCAGGCCAGTCATTTCATCGTGGAAGGTTATCAAGTTAGTCAAGCATGACCTCCCCTTGGTGAATCCATGCTGACTACTACTGATTATTTTCTTGTCCGTCATGAAAACAGCTTCCAGGATTAGCTGCTCCAGAATCTTAGACAGTTGCAAACAGTCTGTATACTCTTACTGCTCAGCTGATGGCCAATTAACAGCCAGTGCACTGCTAATGCAATCAATCCCTATTCCTCTTATAAGGACAGCTGCCTCATCACCTAAAGGCATGAATTCTCCGAAGGAGTCAGTCATTACCACTTTTTACAAGGGCATGTACCGATAGGACAAGGGGGAATGGCTTCAAACTGGAATAAAGTAGATTTAGATTAGATATTAGGAAGAAATTTTTTACTCTGAGGGCGGTGAGGCACTAGAACAGGTTGCCCAGAGAAGCTGTGGCTGCTCCATCCCTGGAGGTGTTCAAGGCCAGGTTGGACAGGGCTTGGAGCAACCTGATCTAGTGGGGGGTTGGAACTCGATTATCTTCAAGGTCCCTTCCTATCTAAACCATTCTATGATTTTATCTACTATTTACTGCAAAAAATCTTTTGTCACTCAAGATGCAACTCAGCAAGTTAGTTGCCAGGAGGAGAAAATGGAGTGAAGTCTGCAGGG